TCTATATCACTCTTCATTATGGATTTGATGTCATGTAAAAAATAAGGTTCTGATCATGTACTGTACATTTTGACATTTTAGCTTCAATATAACAGTGTGACTTGACACCATGTTGTCTTTAAGTTCTTTGCAAAGGTTTTCCACATGTTGCCACATTCTAACAAAAATATTTCATGTCACACATGACAAATGCAAAGTAGTGCACAAATGTCAAGTGGAATGAAAAAATATGTATTTTCTACACATAAAAACAGTGAAAGGCCTGGTGTGGGTTTGTCCTTGCCACTCTTTCATTAAGGGCTGTGGTGTGCCCTTCATGACTTCTCCAAAGTCATGAAGGGCATTTTTTTATTCTATAAAACAAAATCACAACTGCATTTTTACTGAGGTTAAATTGCATGTAAGTGAACTCTATTTGTGACTTCACAAAGTGATTAATTGAACTTGATTGTTTTTAAGTATATCACACTGGGTTGACTACACATACATACCACACTTTCCATATGTACATATTTGTAAAAAAAAAAAAAACCAAATATATCTTTCTATTTTACAATTATACACTGATTTGCAATGGTCTATCACCTAATGGTGTGGCACTGTAAAGCAGCAAAATCAAAAAATGAATTGACAGCATGAATACTCCTGCAAGACACTGAGCCTTTGAAAAACAGCACTTTTACAATACAATGGATGTAATAGTTAATCAAAAGTTGTATTACCATGTCTTAGGTAAATTAAACAAGCACACACCAGTTGTCTATACCTGTTTATTTCTGATCAGGGTTGCACAGGAACGGGTCCATATCTCCTGTGGTCACTGGGCAAGAGGCAGGTTTACTCTGGACAGGTTGCCAGTGCATCACAGGACAGCACAAAAACATGCTGTACAAATAACCATGCACACGTGCAATGCTAATTTTGGTAATATAAAGATGCCAATTGAGTTAATGTGCATGTTTTTGGTTTGTGAGAGGAAGCCAGAATATCTGGAGACAAAATAGCTGGGAAAACATCTAAAATCCACAGCAAAAGGTTTTAAACTCAGGACCTTCATATTACAAGGCAAGTCATAAACCCTGCAGAAATTTTGCCAAAATTTGCTCAAGGCCATTTTGAAAGATTAAAAGAAAGTTTGACTCCTTTGAGGCAAAATGCACCAGCTGAGGAAAGAATTTTGAACACCATGGTGAATATTAAAACCTGACACACATCTAATTTCAGCTGAGATCCTATTTAGAAGACTCCAGATCAGCACCTGCTGAACTGGAGTCTTCTTTATGAGTTATGGCTCAACATCAAAGCATATTAACTATAAAACAGTAACACATGTTGCTACGTTGTATAGCTAATGTGTTTTGATGTCAAGCAATAAATTCTCAATAAAGATGCCACAGGGTGAACAACATGTGCAGACAGTCTATTGATCCGGTCTCCTTTCAGGGCATCCCACACACACACACACACACACACGCACACACACACACACACACGCACACACACACACACACGCAAAATTTCACTTAAGAACAGAGCAACAAAGAATCTTTCCGATTTCTTAAAATTTACTTTTTCTTATAATCAATGTAACACCAACACTCAATTGGATCTAACATTTTCATTGAAGTAGGAGCTGTGGCTCTTTCTCACTGTGAGAAAGGAAACCAAAGCTGCAGTACACTCACAGTGACACGCTCATGGGGAGAGCCACTCAGAGGCAAGCACTGATTCCTAGTTGAAAGTGTTTAGGGGGAGAGACTAGGCAACATAGACAGACCATATTTATAGCCAGGGAAAGAAATAATTCATTGTGATCAAAGTGCAGATCATGCTCCATTCCATCACAGAGCAGATGTGGCAGAATGAAAAGAGCTTTCTTTCTTCTCCACCTGCTCTCTAGTGGCTTCCCAAATGGTAACAGTGAGGCAACTTTATCTGTGTGAAGCCTCTGTGTGTTCTCCGCTTGCTCTCAGGTGGCTTCACTTTAGACGCCTCAAAGTGGTAACAAGAAGCAATAAAAAAAGCGTGAGAAAAAGCCTCCCACACGCAACATGTCTTTAACATCAGTGTGATGACTGAATATCAGAGTATGACCCTGCAGCAGGACGATGGCGAAACCAAAATGCTTGGATTTGAAGCAGATAGCCCAGAACAAAAAAGAAGTATGTGCAAAGAGGTTGGTAAGGTCGAAGCTTCCAGAATACATAAAAGGAGGCTTAATGTTAAATGTGTACTTTCCACAGGTGCAACTGTAGCAGGTAACACCAAAGGCAACAAAGTGACCAAGCAAATCCTAGGACATCCGTTTTCTCCTCCTCACTTATTTGACTTTGTTCCCTCCCTTCTCACACAAAATTACCCACACAATTTTATTCCTTTGCTTTGCTTTTCCTCCAGTGTTTCCTCTCCCTCTCTCTCTGCAAACACGCACCAGCAGACACACGCAGAACTGCGTCTTCCAGTTTCATTTCTCTCTTTCCCTTTCCCTCCCACATGCAAACATTCACACATGCCTGTTTCTTTCTCTTTTTTATTGCCTGTGTTTGACGGTTTTTACTTTCCTGTCGCTTCCTTCAGCATCCACACACTGCAGAAGTTGCCCTTCATCTTCTCTTTCATTTCTTCCTCCTCCCACACTTCTCCTATCACTACTTTCATGCAGTGGAACCCGTACAGAGGCGCCTGTATCATTCGCTCTCGTATTCTCTTCCTGCCCAATCACTCCCTAAACGTGCTCGCACTCTCTTCCTTCTCTCCAGTTTCCTCCTCTCTTCTCTCATCCTCTCTCCCTCCCACATCCACGTGCGCACACAAGCAAACGACACCGGCCGTCCAGCTTCCCGGACTCCCAGCTGGGCTTGGACAGCCCTCTTCCTCTGGCCTTTCTGGGCCATCTGGAGTGCAATGTCCCCGCTCTGCTGGTCTCCTGCCAGCAGCCGAGCCTCCCGGGGATGAACGCACCATCTTCAAGCGCAATTTGTACGCGTCAAAGCTCTGCTGTGTGTCCGGTGACCCATCTGAGAGAAGTCATTGAGTCCTGAATTTCCCTCCTCAAAGGAGCCTCATTCTGCTTTGATGACACCTGCACTCTGTGTCCAACTGCGAGGACAATGGCACAGTAATTGATTAAAGCTGCTGGGCAGCCTTATTAGCAGTTATGTTTATGGTCATGTTGATAAGTTGTCCTTGCATAAAGAGGGAATGTCACAATCTGGCTCAAAAGTCAACCATTGGGAAAAATACGCCATTCACCTGCATAGAACTGAACGTTTGGTAGGTTTAACGGAGAATGCAACATTCTCAGTTGAATTTTTTTGGTCAGAGTAGAAAAGGTGTGTGGAAACAAGGCAGCCTACAGACATGGCTGAGTTACGTCAGTTAAATCAAGAAGACCGAACCAGAACTCCAGCAAGCTAAAGCAAATTCAAAATATTTCCCCATCACATTGTTTAAAACGCACCGTTTCTGCTATTAGTTTTCTCCGTCTGTGGAGCAACGAGTAGCACAGTGCTGCTCTCCAGCACCTGTTGCTGGGTAAAATAATGCTACTTCTACTCTTTTCCTACATTACTCAAACAACAACAACAAAAAAACAATTTAGTTCCATTTTCACAAGATAACAAAGGATGTCAGTAAATGCTTTGTGTAACTTTCCTTAAGCTTGTTTTATAAATAATTAAGAAATCTTTATTTACCATTTCATTGAAGATCCTCTTTGGTAACAGAGGAACATTTCACTGCACTCATGTACATTCAGTTATTACTCTATGAACGATACAGCTGTCATTTGCTCTGCTATCTAAACTGTTCAGCACTGTTTATTCTTTTGATTCAAACTTCTAAGTCCTATTCAAAAACTTCTCATTCAGTTATTTAATGTGTGTTTTTCTTATTAATCTATTTTACTTTTAGGTGACCTAACCTGAAAGACTACCGGTGAACATTTTTCCTTTCAGCCTAAACCTGCAGCTCAATGCGATATCAAAGAAAGAGTGTGATGACAAAGAAATCGGCAATAAAGATTCACCAGTCTCTCTTGATACTGATGTCTTTTAGGTCTGAACTGCTAATTACATTTGTCCTGTTGATATGAATAAAAACAAAACAGATTATGCATGACATTCTGTATATCTTTATGTTATTTTGAGAAATTATTGATGCTGCTATGAAATAAAAAGCCAATTAAATCACAATTCAAATGGAGCCAAAAAACAAACAAACAAACAAAAAAAACCATGAACATTAGATTCACTGACAGCAATGTATGCACTTTAAGTTGCATCTATTTGGGCGATGTTAGAGGTTGAAGTATGTGATAAATAGGGAAAAAAACTGTTTTAATTCTCAGCTTTTGACCTACCAACCTCCTACCCCTGACGGATTGATGCAGCTCTAATTAGTGACTGTGGAACAAATTGATCAACTTCATCTCAATGAGATTTTTTTCCTAATCTACTAGCGGTTTGCAAGTTGGACACAATACGGCACAAAATGTTGTGCCAGGTGGATGTGAGTAACATGAAGTTTTTAGGTCACAGAGACCAACGATGCACCGGGTTTCCTCCTTTACCAATCCAAATAAAAAACACTCAACTGTTTATAATGTTCTTTGTGTAGCAATGATGGATGGAACTAATAAAACATTTAAAGTTTCCCCAACTTATTAACTCTAAGCTTACTGTACCAATCAACTAGACTCATTGATATTTAAGAAAGGAGATTTTTTTTTTTTAAAAAAAAAAAGGTTAAATTCTAAATTATGAAAAGTAAAAAAAAATAAAAAATTAAATAAAGGCAAAACAAATTGCATTTCTGTGGGTCAAAAGGCTATGAAGTATTCAGGAGATAAACTTTGTCAATCTATTGGTTAAAACTTGAATGAAGGCAAAGCACACTCGGAATCACATAGTTTTAGCCTACATTCGCTCTAACACAGCGTATTAGCTGTTAAAACTGTTAATCTCCGTTTCTTACACTCCAAAGCACATTACTGGACTCACCTAATCAAAGCTCCAACATCTACCATGACGCTGGGGAACAAAGTGAGACTGTCTCTCCTCTTCTTCACTAGTTGATCAGCCGAGCCCACCCGTTTCAGCACCACGGAAAGCGCGTCCTTTCCTCGTTGGGTCCCTGCGGGGCGGGAGATGGTGCAAGTTTACCTACACAGCCCGGTGCTGCTGCAAACAAACGCGTCGACGCACGTCTTCTCCAAGTTTGATGCCTCCCCGTGAATTCTCTGACATGCCTCGCCCGATGCTCCTCGGTGGCTTTCAGGATGAGCGCGGCCAATCACAATCCCTGGCTCGCTCGCTCTTTTTACTCTCACATCTCTGCGCATCCCAAGCCGCGGAGAGTCTCCGAGGACCGGCGCCTGCTGTCTCGCCTCCGGGCGGGGACGCTTGCAGAAACAAGTGACTTTACAGGAGCGGCTTCTCCCGCTACTGATGGCAGCCCATCTTCACTTTGCGGGGCTCCTCTTTGTCTTCACGACGATGGAGACACTGATAGAAAAAAAAAAAGAAGAAAAAAAAAAAAAGAAAAAGATGGGAGTTGCGAATTTCCTCTCGCACATCGACTGGCTGTAGAGGAGCGGAGCAGCGGGAGCAGGAGGAGTGTCTTCTAATAAAGACTCTTCTAATACGGACAGTCAGCGCTCCGTGTTTTATTAATGTTCCGACAGGCATTTTGTCCAAATGACAGAAACAATGGCGCTCTACGAGATTTAAATGTTATGTGCACTGCAATAACTTAACTGCCTTGTATGTTTTTTTTTTCTTCCATGTTTTACAGACATTCAAAAAGTCCGGAACTGGTTTATTATGAGATTGGTTTAATGTGAAGTTTTATGTTTAAACACTTAAAGAGAGGATCAAATAGTTCATATAATTTAACTCTTCACAGAAAACCAAATTTTTAACATATTAAATCTTAAAGATGAGTAGATTTCTTGTACAATACCCACTTTTGGAAATCTTTCCTAAAAAAATTATGGAGTTGCAACTGAAAAATCTCAGTCACAAAATGCACATGAATTTATATTTATTTGGCATTTCTTTTGCAGAAATTCATTACAGGGAAGACTCGATGCATAATTATGGAAAATTAATTCTTCAGTTCTTTTGTGTAAGTGGAAAAGGCAACTATTTGGTTCTTATTTTCTTTAGAGATCTTATCATGATTTTTAAACAAAATGTTTTCTTCTCATAGAAGATAAGAAAATTGGCGTCAGAGTTTATGTAGTTCACTCATTTTCCCTTCTGTACAACACCACCGATTACCCCAATTACCCCAGACCCGTTACGCCCAGGGCCGTGCAGAGACCACTAAAGGGGCAGGTGCT